AGTGTCTCCAACCTCAGGGCATCTCTGATTCCTCGTCCTTTTTCTCATTTTCACCTAATCTCACTCTCTTCTCCTTCTTCTTGTTCCTCTTTCTCCACTGTTCCTGTTCCTGTTCCCGAGCTCCCCCCAACCCCAAACTGATCTTTTTGGCCAGCCCATCCCTCATTTACTGTCTCTAGGCAGGCCATCCCCTGACAATCTTTGATCTCAGTGCTGGCCCATGCTGGCTGGAGTTCTTCCACTCCTTCCATGGCTAAGGTTCGATTCCAACTGCTGGATTCTAACCTGGGGAGCACCCCCTTACCCTGGCTGCCCTCCCCATGGGTGCTGGCAAGAGATAAATGGAAGCTGAAATGCCAAACTGTAGTGGAGATCAGCCCAGTGAGTCATCCTAGCCCAGAGCCCCAGCCATCAGGCCCCCTAATGGGGTTAGAGGACACAAGGTCCAGGACTGGATCTGGGCCTGCATTCCACCCTACCACCCAGGGTCTGGCTTCAGGCTGAACTGGACCATCCCAAACTAGAAGAGACACCCCACCACCCTCAACTCTGTCTGAGCCCAGCTCCTGCCTAGCTCTGGGCTGATAAAGAGTTCAACAAGAATGGGGAGTATGGCCTGCCACTGGAGGTAATAGATGGAGCAGGAGATGAAGAGAAAGGAGCAGCAGAGGAGAGAAAGGTCAAGGGGCCCTGTGGTGGATGGTGCTGAGGCTCTGGCCTCTGCCCAGGTGAGAGAGGTAGGAGTAAGGGGTGAGAACAATCATGCTGACCTGGGGACATCTCACCTGGAGTCTTTGTCCAGTACTCCTAGCTCCTCCACTCAGATCTTAGCCTTTTTTGACAATTCAGTTATTCACCCCTTGCCTGCCTCAGTTTCCCCACATAGGTAGATCTCTTAATTCCTGCTCCCTTGTGTGTGTAAGTGGGAGGGGATTGGGGGGGCAGGGGAAAGAGGCAGATACAGTAATCACTACGTCCAGGCCAGGAAAAAACATCCCCTTCCCTCCACCCCAAACCGCAGCCCCAGCGGTGGCTGGAGAGAGATCTGGGATTGACTACGAGGGGTCTCCACTCACCAGGGTCTGCTCATACTGGAGAGCCCGGGGCTCCATCCCTTCCTCTACCGCCGCCGCCATCTCCTCCACGTAGGACAGCCTGGCCTGGGGCTCCGACTCCAGACAGCTCAGCCTCAGTGCCCCAAGCCTGGGTTCTCTCTCTTCGGGTCTGTCCTCCCTCCCAGCACTCCCGCCTGCTCAGCTCCAGTCCTGTCCCCGCAGGCTCCCAAAGTGCCGCCAGAGCCTGGTGTTGTCTCCCCCACTTTCCTCCCGTCTCCTCCCCTCTCGGGCGGGCCAGGGGCGGTTCCCGAGGAGCTGAACTGGTCTGGGCTGCGCTGGACAAGGGCAGTGCTGCTCCTCCCGGAGGGGGCAGCTCAGGCCCCGGGAGCGACTGCGCCCCTCCCCCACCCCGCACCCCTGGCTGTTCTGGGGGTCCCGCGGGGGCTGGGGGAGCGCCCAAGCAGTCAGAGATCTCTCCCTGGGACAGCGCCCCCTCCCCTCTCTTGGCTCTTCCCACTTGGGCACTAGTCCCTCCCCTCGAAGGCCCTGCAGAACTCTGCTGTCCCGCCCCCAGACTGGAAGAACCGCGCTGTATTTAGACGCCAGGGACATGGTTCCCGTTCAGCTTTGTGTGACCTTGGAAAAGTTACCAAACCTCAGTTTCCAGAGCTGTAAATGAAGGCGTTGTATAGAGGACGTCTAAGATCCCTCCCAGCTCTAAGATCTATGAGTCTGTGATATTGAGATAACCTCTAGACCGAAGTCGGCGATCCTAGAACTGGGAGAGGAATACCAGCCCTGAGCCAACGGGTCACGGGCCAATGTGGCGGAGCCACGGAGTGCTGAATCAGGGAGTGAGAATTGTGTTTGGGTCTTTGGTCCAGCGACAGGCTTTGAACTGCTGTCCCCTGATCTCCCACCAAAGCTGGGGTCTCTTGTTTCCTTATTCTCTCCATCTTTCCCCTACAATCTATTCCAGCCTCGGCACTCCAGGACCTAGGGACTTAGGGGAAAGTTCTTGGAGCTTCGTTTAGGGGCAAACAGGAATCCTGGGGAGGGCACTTGAGAAGGGATCTGAAGTAGGGACAGAAGGAACCACCCTCCGAGCTGCTCCTCATGGAACCTGGATCCTATAGAACCTAGTTGGAAAGACCAGTCTACCCCAGCGCATTTTACAGGTTGGTGACGTGTCTAAGATCACCTAGGTAGCTGAAACAGGTTTCAAACTCAGGTCTGCTGACTCCAAATCCAGTCCTCTTGCCCTAACATCATTCTGTAGGTGGGAGCTGGAGGGGATAAGGGTGTAATCAATCAGTCAGCCAACAATGATTAAACATTTACCATGCACCAGTGAGAGTCCCTGCCTTTAAGAAGGAGAGGCTAAGAGGCCAGGCTTATATTGGGGCTCCCATAGCTGAGCAACATTCTCTAGATGACAAATGCCGCCCACTCAACTCCTTTTAGACGCATGAAGTCCCTCTCTTTTCGGTCCAGGATCTTTTGTTCCTTCAGGGCCTCTCCACCTCTTGCTTGGAGTATACTGATCTTCCTGCTTCCAGTCTCTCCCTTTTCCAATCCATTCTTTACAGGGCTACCAAGTCATCTTCCTGCACAGGCTTGAATAGGATTCTCCTGTTCTAATACTTTTAGGGACTCCCTATTGCCTTTACTATGAATTTCAAATTTCTCAGCCTAGGATTTAAAGTTCTCCTCAGTCTGCTTCTTTTGACCTACCTTTCCAAGTTCATTTCACATTACTTTACCTTCATGCACTCTTTAAAGCTTAATAAAGGCTTTTTAAATGCATTCATTTGTTTATTCAACCAAGCTGGATTATGAGTTCCCTGAAATTAACATGCCATTTCCCCTGCCTCAGTGCCATGATGAAGGGAGCACACCTGCCTGGAATTTACTCCCTCATTCCATCTGCTCCTTAGATTCCTTCTGTCCTCTCCAGGCTTAGCTCAGGTGCAACCTCCACTGCTGACCTTCTTTGAACTCTCCAGCCAAAAGTCCTAGCTCCTTCCTGAAAATTTCCTCGAGTACTTCGAGTCTCTCTTTTGCTTTGATGTACTTTATTTGGTATTTTGCATCTCTTTGTAGGACCTGAGTACCTGAAGGGTACCTGGTCTGCTGTGTCTAAATCTTCCTGTAATTTCGATGTGTATGGACCACTTCATAAGAACTTGTTGAATTGATTTCTCAATGGGAGAAGTCTCCATCAGCCAGAGGTGGAAGAAAAACTGAGTGTGATTTGGGGGAGGGTTTCTTCCTGGAGCCAGAATGAGAACAGAATCATAACATGGATAGCAAGGATATTAGGAACTAACTTCTTTGGGGGGTGGGATGGTTCCCTTCTCTCTTTATGTCTGTGTGCCTCTCTTGGGTGCCGCATCTGATGAGAGCTGGGCCTGAATCTGACGGGCTAGGCTGGAATGATGGGGATGGGGGAAGCCTAGGGGAGGCTGAAGGCAGAAAAAGCAGAGAACCTCGGAGGGAGTTGCGGAGGCCGCTCCCCTGAGACTGGCTCTAAGCAGGGGCGGGGGGGGGGGCAGAGGTCGCTTTTTCCTGGCATGGCCCCAGGCTCGAAACCTGAGGAGCTGCTGACGTGCTAACCCAGTGGGGAAAGAATGGAAGAGGCAGCACACGAGTGAATGCGGGTGGGGGAGGGGATACAGGGGCAGGTGAGGGTAGCAGGAGAAGGCGGCCAAGGGGCGAGTGCCCAGGGATGGAGCTGGGGGTGGAGCAAGCAGGTGCCACGTGTGGGCAGCACCGGGGACAGGTAGCATGGGCAGTGCCTGGAATAGACTGTGCCGAGCGGGGAGTGCCTGGGTGGGCTGCGCCGGGGAAGGAGGAAGGGCCACTGCCCGATGACCTCATGGCAGATCCCCAGGAGGGCAGGGCCACGTCCCAGGATCTCGGGTCTGGCCGCCAGGCCGCCCGGGGGAGGCGGTCACTTTGAGGACTGGCCATGCTCACCGCCCCCAGTCCCGACATCAGAGGAGGAGGAGAAGAAGGAGGGGGGCGAGGTCCGCACCAGCCCCCAGGCCCAGCCCTAGTAGGGGACAGAGTGTGCCAAAGCCCGGGGACGACCTGTGGACGGGCGGGGCGCGCACTGGACTCTGAACCACTAGAGCCGAGCGGGGAGGCGGGGCCTCGGGCGGGACAGCGGCCCATTCTGCGCCCTTATAGGCCCGAACGTATTCGGGGCGGCCCCGGACCCAGGGGGCGGGGAAGGTGGTGGGACCAGCTTCCTCTAGGCATCTTCATAGGCCCGTGCGGGCTTGGGGGGAGGGACAGGGTCTAGGAGGCGGGGGAGCCCGCCCAGCGTTCTTATAGGCCTTAGAGGGGCTGAGGGGCGGTACCAGAGCCCGTCCTTCACTCTCAGGGACCTGGAGGGGGCGGAACCGGGGTTGAGGGGCTGGGAAAGCTCTATCTTCCACCCGCCGAGGTCCGGGTTTTCAAGGTCTCCGGCTCGGGAACACGCAGCTAGATTCATGGACTGTACTAGGAACTGGGTGGCAAGGCGGGATGCGGAGAGGAGGCCCGGGAAACTGCTGGGGCGTCAGGGACAGGGGCGAAGCCGGTGCCCAGAGAGCCAGGCGCTGAGTCGGGCCCCGCCCCCCTTGGCGAAGTGCGCATGCTCTGAACAGGGTCGCCAGAAGGCCAGAGGCCTGAGGCGAGAGGGGGCGGGACAGGAAACGATGAAGAGGAGAAGCGGAAGCGGAACTACGTGTATAGACGTCCTCCCCTAGCTTGCGTGCCGTGCGCACGCGCGGCCCCTGACTTTTTTTTTTTTGCGCGCTTCTCGCGGGGCCCTCGCGCTCGGGGTGGTTCGGCCTCGCTCGCCTCCCGCGGCCGACCATGGCCGGGATCCTGTTCGAGGACATTTTCGACGTGAAGGACATCGACCCGGAGGGCAAGAAGTTCGACCGAGGTGAGGCTCCCCTCGGGGAGACCCCGCCCCCCAGCGTGCGTCACCGAGGAGACCCCGCCTCACGTTTCTTTTCTGACTGAGGAGACCCACTCCTCCCCCACCTACAGGAGACCCCGCCCCCAAGGAGACGCCTCTTTGAGCCCTCTCACGCCGCCTCCGAGGAGACCCTTTCCCGCCTTTCATTCTCTGAAAGCATCGGAGCCGGTGTGTGAAGCGCCTAGTGTGTGCCACGCGCTGTGCTTGAGCGCTGCGGATCCAGGGAAAGGCCAGAGAGGCGCTTCCCTCAGGGAGCTTCCGGTCTAACCCAAGTGAACGTGTGCAAACAAAGTTATACACGGACAGATGGGGAATAACGTGCAGAAAGCGCTGAGACGAAGAGGGGCCGGGGGGGGGGTCAGCGGTCGGAGGGTCTTGTTCCTGGAATAGCCGCGAGCCCGGCTCAGGGAGAGAGGGGTCAGCAGCCTGGGGAGGGGGCTTCGGGGGGGGGAGGGTGGCGTGGTCGGACCACTCTGGTGGCTGAAAGGAGGGTGAGCTGGGGTGGGGAGACTGAAGCAGGACGCCCCCGCCCCGCCCCCCCAGCTGAGACGGGGCCTGGTGGGCAGCGGGACGCAGCCAGGAGACAGAGAGAGGGTGAACGCTGGGGATGACAGAGGCGGGCTGAGGCGGGACTGGGATCCCTTGTGTGTGTGGAGGGGTTGCTTGGGCCGGGAGAAGGGCCACTTAGTGTGAGAGGAGGAAGAGGGACCTCTCTGTCCATGGCCTCAGCTTTTTCGCTGAAATATGAGGCTGGTTATAGATCGAGAGGGTTCAGTGGGAGGGTTGAGGAGGGATGAGTGTGGTGGTTAATCCATTAGGGCAGCGTGAAAGGATTGCCTTGCTGCAGCCAGGGCCCGGCTGAGATGATGTGGCCTAAGTTTGTGCTGTATCCAGTTAGCTTGGTTTTGTGGTTTTTTTCTCCAGCTCCATTCAGGCGTGAAGGCAGCCGATGGTGGCAGTAGCTCAAAGCTGGAGCTTTGCAGGGTGAGATTGAAGATAGGACAAAGGGGCAAGAGACTGGAGGGAAGAGAATAGTGTAGAGTTGAACTGGTTCGGGAAGAGATGAAGATGGGGAACAGAGGAGAATGTAGCCATTGCAAGGCCTGGGAAAGAATGGGGGGGGTGAGAGATTGGAGCAAGATTGGAAGAATATTGGTGTGTGCATATGTGATGGGGGGAGATCATCGTAGGGGAGGAGGAAGGCCACCTTAGTGAAGTCAAGAAGGGGAGAAAGTGCCCGTAGTGTGGGAGAGGGAGAGGGGGCTCTTAGGTCAAAAGATAGGCAATGAATGACCCTGTGTTTCTGGGGAAGGAAGACTTGGGAAGGGGGATTGAAATCACTCAGTCAACAAGCACTTATTAAACATTCCGATCTTCCAAGGACTGAGCTAAGTGCTGGCTGTTTGGTGGAAAAGGGAAGCCAGTGTCTGTCCTCTAGGAGCTTATATTTAATGGGGGAGACAACATGAACCTAAATAGGCTTATGTGTACCAGACAGCCACCATGGGAATGCCCTCCAAGGCTCTGTCCCGATTCCTCTTCTCTTTTCTCTCTATGCCTTCTCATGTGATGTCTGTGTTCACTTATCATCTCTATGCAGATGACTCCTGGATCTGTACATTTAGTCCTGGTCTGTCTCCTGATCTCCCATCCTGCATCCTGCCAGCTGCCTGTTGGATATTTTGAACTGGCTATATCTAGGCATCTCCGACTTAACGTGTCCAAAACAACTCACTGTCTTTCTACCCAAAGCTGCCCTTCTTTCAGACTTCCATATGGCATCACCCAGATTCACAGCCTTGACATTATTCTCAACCCTCACGCATTCTCACTCACCCCGCAGGCTGTTTCCAAATCTTGCTTCTTTCTCCACCATGTCTTGTGGCTGAATCTCCTCAGTCAGTCAGGAAAAACGTTTTAAGAGCCGTGTGCCTCGAATACAAAAGGAGACAAAAAGCAGTCTTCCCTCTACTCACACAGTCAGTTCCCAAGTTTAGGCCCTTGTCACCTGCTAACAGTCTCCTTGCCTTTGGTTTCTTCTCTCTCATCTGTCCTCGGTGTAGCTGCCAGTAATTTTCTTAAGGCACAAGTCTGACCAGATCATCTCATGTATTGGATAAACTCTGGTTAGTATTTAAAGTTCCTCACAGCCTGACTGCTTCCTATTCTCCATGCACTCAGAGCTTCTGCCATGCTAACCTACTTGTTCCTGACACCCAACCCACTATCTCCCACGTCTGGGCTGTCTGTCATTCTTGAGATGCTTTCCCTCCTGCCTCCAAGAATCCACGACTTTCTTCAAGATTCAGCTCAAATGTCCCTAGTGTTGTGCAGAAGGCTTTCTGGGTCCTCTCAGCTGCTAGGGCTTTTTCCTCGGAGGGTACGTCACTTAAGGGAAGGTTGGATTACCTTAGATACCCCTCATGTTTATCTTGTGTCTATTTCTGTTTATTTGTCAATCTTCCCTATTAGAATGTAAGTTCATTGAGGATAGTTACCGATTTTTTCTTTGTATCCTCAGCACCTAGCACAGGGACTCTCACTTGTACTTAATAAGAGTTTGTTGGTGGTTTGTTTCACCCTTCCAGAGATACTTTCCTTACAGAGGAGATTCTCATCCTCCCAAGAGGATTTTCCCTGCCTACGTGTACTGGGGTGTTTCAGCTGCCTCCCCATTGACCTAAGGCATCGTCTGCTTCCTTCTCTCCTTCAGAGGTCCCCCCCATAATATACCTATGCCCAATATTCATTGACACTCATTCTTATTGCTTTTCCAAAGGGATTTTCCTCCCACTGAGATCACTACCCCTCTTTCCACCAAATGCAGAGACTTTTCTTCCCCTACCTGCCACATAGTCTTTCTGGATCACACACACACACACACACACACACACACACACACACACACACACCCTTCCTCTGATATCTTACACTGCTCCCCCCAACTTAGGAGATGCTGTCTTCCTTCACCCCTAATGCCATTACACACATCCATTCTTGTTAGCACCACTTCCACACCATCCACATCCATTGGCCCTTTCTGGGGAAGATGCCTTCTGCCCCCAGCATCAGCACACACAATACTTGAAGGTAACTCCTCATGTCTGGGGATCCTGTCTGCTCCCCTCAGATCCTCTAGGGGGACGCTCCCCTGTTGGCCATCTCATGGCAGCAGCTGGAAAGGACCCCAGGGATCCTCTGGTTCAGCCTGCTCACTTTACATATATGGAAACAGGCCACGTTTTCTGGGGGAGAGGAAATGATTTGCCCCAATTCACAGTGAATCACTGGTAGAAGATGGATTGGAAGCCAGAGGCTTGGCCATTCTTTGTTATCTCCTCTGGCCTTCACCAGCATCTCTCCTGTAATTATTTCTCTCTTGTTGTTAGTGTCCCGCTTGCACTGTGAGAGTGAATCCTTCAAGATGGACCTCATCTTAGATGTTAACATCCAGATCTATCCTGTGGACTTGGGTAAGTGTTTTATGGGAATGGCTGGACAATCTGCTGTTCTTTTTGGTGTTGTTGGGAGCTGTTATTGAATGAAAGTGATTTGTGTTCCACACATAGATACCATCTATAAAAACAAGCAGCGAAGAACAAAATCGAAGAGGTTGCACTTGAAACTATCAACATTCTTATTTACAATTTTTAAAAAATAACCAAAACGTCTAGCTTGCTTGTGTCATCCCCTGAATTTTTTCTATAGATTTATTTTTGGATATTGTGAAGTTCTCAAAAGGAGAAACACAAATGGTCAGTAGCCACCTAAAACTGGTTGGCCTCTCTAAGCAGAGAAATGGAAAGCAGAGCAACTCAGAGGTGCCACTTTACACGAATGGAATTGGCCAAAGGAATGAAAAATGACACCCTCTCCTGTTGTGGGGGCACACTGTCACACTGATGAGAGAATGGTGCCTTGGCAGAATCCTTTGGAGAGCGGAGCAGCTGAGGACAGGAGCCCCAGAATTGTTCGTATGCTGTGATTGGTGCTTTGGAGGACTGTTGTTGGAAGCAGAAGATGGGTAGCACTCACATTCACAGTGTTGTCATCGTGAAGGACTGGAAAGAGACCACATAGTCAGTAGTTGAGGGATGGCTGAACCATGGATGGTGATCGCACTCGAGACTCTCGTGCCATCAACAGTGACAGATGGGAAGCATCCAGAGAAATATATGAAGACTTAGGAAGTGATGCGATAATAATGCAGCCAAGAGTGAAGTTCCCACTTTATACAAGGCACTGTGTCAGGTGGTAGGGGATGCAGAGGTAGTAAGTTATAGTTCCTGCCCTCAAAGTGCTTACCTTCTGCTGGCCAGGGGAGAGGGATAAGGATGCAGTAGTGATAGGTACATATAACACCAAGGACGATGTGATGGAGGCAAAGGCAAGATCCAGATAAGAAGTACTCTAGGAACATTTCACTGGGAAGAGAGTATTTTCAGCTGAGGGGGGCAGGGAAGATTTCATGAAGGCGGTGGTGGTGGCAGCCTCTGAGTGGAACCTTGAAGTAAGAAAAAGAGTGTGAAACATCTCGATGAGGAGGGAGAGGAGGCAAAGGTGCACTCCAAGACTAAGGGAATGTTCAGGGTGGACTATGTCAGATTCATGGAAAAATAGTTTGGTCTGACAGGAACACGATGGATTGTGAGGATGGGAAGGGGGAAAGAGAAGGTGATGTGAAATTAGGCTGCCAAAGGTAGGCTGGTGCCAAATTATGGCAGGCCTTGAATCCCAGGCTACAGAATTTGTATTTTATCCTGTAGAGTTCTTAAGCTTTCTGGTGTTTCCTTGGCTCTCTGGAAAAGCCTTTGTATCCCTTTTTAAGTGTATAAAATAAAAAGGAGAGTAATAGTGTAGAAAAAGAGTTGTGTGTGTACATATATATTGATGTACTGAGCCCCATTAAGAAATCCTGCTGGAGGCCCTAGTGAGCTAGTGCAGGTGTTAGAGCAGGGCAGTGGCACATTCAGAGCTGTGGAAGCCAGGACTTGGTGAAGACAAAGGCTAGAAGCAGCAGAACCATCCAGCTTGGCAGGAGCTAGGCAGGTGGTGTTGTGGCAGGGCAGCGGCTTGAGTGGAGTGAAGCAGAGGCCCATGAGAGTGATCACATGTACAGAATCTCATGCCCCACAAAATCTGTGGTTGATTTTCAGGGGACAAGTTCCGATTGGTGATAGCTAGCACCTTGTATGAAGATGGGACCCTGGACGATGGGGAATATAATCCCACAGATGACCGGCCATCCAGGTGAGGGATCAGGGAAGAGAAGGTACAATGCCAGGTTTTTCCACTTTATTCTGATTTTAAGTTATTTCTTTGGTGATATTCTCTAAGGACAACAGGTGACCTAGGTCTGGATACCTGGCGCTTAGCAGGGCCTGGGGCACCAGAGGGAAGTCACACCTCCCTTGTCTGCTGCTTGTAAGCGCTCAGTCAGCAAGTTCTTGTGGAGTTTCTCCTCTGCCCAGCTCTAGATGTGGTGGCTTCTGCTGATTCCTGTGCAGTTCGGGGAGGGAGACCCAAGGAGCACCTGCCTTTTACTCCACAGGGCCGACCAGTTTGAGTACGTGATGTATGGGAAGGTGTACAGAATTGAGGGAGACGAGACCTCCACAGAAGCAGCCACTCGCCTGTAAGTAACTTCACAGCGCGTAAGAGACTGGCTTTTCTGTTTCCTGGAGAAGAGACAGGCTGCCAGACCTTGCGCTTTGGTCACAGACATGGCTGCTGGATGGGGTGGGGTGGGGTAAGAGTGGGCTCTTTGGGGAGTTCTGTTTATCTCGTATCAGGGTGTTCTGGACCAGAAGGTGGGTATGACATTTTTGGTGACCTCTAGAGCCCATGCTTAGAACCTGTCCTCTTCGGCGGGGGTGTGGGGGGGGGGTGGGGTGTCCAGGGGCTCCCTTCTCGCCTTCTTGGCCACCACGTGCTTCTGTTGTTTGGTCCGGGCTGCCCAGAAATGCTGAGGTAGAGCTGCTAAGGAGACCAGGATGACTTTAGTGCTGTCCTCTTGCTATAGCTCAGCCTATGTGTCTTACGGGGGGCTGCTCATGAGACTCCAGGGAGATGCGAACAACTTGCACGGCTTTGAAGTGGACTCCCGAGTTTACCTCCTGATGAAGAAGCTGGCTTTCTGAGCCACCTAGGGAGCCTTCGCTGTTTGCCCCTTTCCTGTCCGGTGAGGCCTGGTCTGGGCATTGCCGCCCCTGCCAAGAGCTGCTGCAGCGGGAAGAATGCTGGCTGAGGAAGGGGAATCCATTCTTCGCCTGATGGACTTGGGATCTCTCTTGGTTGGTCTGAAATGAGTTGAAAACTGGTTGTTGGCCCCTGCTTGGGATCCCATTGGATGAGCTCAGGTTGAGCTTTCAGATACTTTGTGTGATGGTTCAATTAAACTGTGCTTTTTTGTATCTGTTTCTCTTCTCATCCTACTATCTGCCTGGAAATTTGTCTTTTCATTTCTCCTCCTAAAGCTTTTTATGCATCTGACCTAAGGCTGGAGGATGGTGTGTCTGGCCAGGACTTCCTCAGCACTCAAGGTTGACTCCTTGGGGTCACCCTCAGCTAGCCGGCCTCAGTATTTATCCTGTGCTGCTGTGCCCCAGGCTTCTGGGGCCAGCTGTGAGGATGGCACAGGGCACATTGGCGAGGGGACGTACTGAATCTTTCTAGCACTTGCTTCCCTAGTCTAGGAAGTCTGTTCAATTCTTCGAGAAGAGTCATCTGCATAGCCTGGAGATGGGGTGTGTGTGTGTGTGTGTGTGTGTGTGTGTGTGTGTGTGTGTGTGTGTGTGTGTGTGTGTAATCATGAGGGGAGGCTTTAGACGTGGGTGTGTAGCATGGTTGTGTCTAGGGACAGTGGGAATGGGGGAGGATTTAGTGGTTGTGAATGCAGGGGTGGCATTTCTGCCAGGGAGCCAGGAGGGCAGGTAACTGTTGGATGTGTTTGCCACCCATTGATAACTGAACAGGGAGAGGGAGCTGCTGTGAGCACCATCAGGTCACCAGCGACAGCAGTGGGGCTCATTCTCATCCCTTTGCTCCAGAACCTTGTGTCCCTGTAACTTTCATGGCTGTACTGCGCTGGCAGAACCTTGGGAAATGGCAGCATGTTAGCCGAAACCTGAAACTGCCTGAGAATCCCTGGTTTTCTTTCTGCATGAAGGGAAGCAAGCTCAGGAGCCTGTGGTTCTCCTGAGGAATTCTGCCCCAGAGGAACCCTGCTTGAGGGCACATCCAGAATCTGTCCTTTTGAAGCTGTTTGACCCCAGGAGTTGGCCTCCCTTAGATACTGCCTGGGGTGTTTCCTTCCCTGTCATTTTCAGGTCTGTGAAGAAGGTGTTAAGAATGGGATTTAGGGAAATGGATTGAAAGTGAATGAGCTCTGCAGGAAGAAAGGAAAGATGTTTCTGTTGGTTTCTCACTGTGGGGGGGATGCGGGGGGGGGGGTGATAGGGAATGGGATGAATGTCTATGGGAATCTCAGCACCTTTCTGAAGCCTTAAGTTTGGGGGAAGAATGGGAGTGAATTCAGTGTGGATGGCAGGAGAAAAACTCAAGTTTTTTTCTGAAAATTTGGAGGGTTAGAAGAAGGTTGGATTGCCCCTGAAGGCAGTTGGGATGATGTCCTGCCAGTGAAACTGTGGGCCTGGCATGTCAGGAAAGAAGGGTGCTACTTTCCCTCTCCTTGGCTTGGCAGGTGTCCAAGAGTTGGCTGGGTTTGGGGACTGGCCTAGTCTGGACTAGAAAGATCTTCTTTTTCTTTACATGAGTGGAGGGGCTGTTGGTCCTGAGCTATGTAGGTCAGCCTTCAGTCTCTGCTTGGAGCTTCCTGGCGTTAATGTTCGCATCACCCTGAATCTTATCTTATGGTGCTGTTGACATAGTTTGTATCTGGGTGTTGGCTTATTTACATGCCGTAAAGAGTTTTATTTGGTCATTGCCTTTCATCCAGTTTCCACAGAAGTAAATTGCAGGAAATTTCTTACACTTCCCTCCCGCACTTGGGCATGCTAACTTCTCTCTGCAAGCACAAAGCTCACTTCTCTGGAATCAGGCCTGTACTGCCAACCTAAGATTGACACTGGGCTTTCCAGACTTGGTGGCTTCATGGATTTTGTCCCTCTCCGACCTTTCGTATTTTTCTGGGAAGGGAGAGACAGCAGCTCTGAGATATTCTCATCTAATGCTGCATTTCACTCACTGAGTGTGATTTGCCTTAGCCTGAGACCCTTTAAGGGGGTAGAGTATTTTCCCCATCCTCATTTAGTTGAGCCACAGAGGGCCCAGTAGGCATTAAGGCATTTGTGGTAGCACCGTGACTGCCGTCCTATGCAATGCCTGCCATTTGTGCTCTTTGGCCCCTACCTGCCCCGCAGAGAAGGGCCTCTGGAGGCTGTAGGTTGTCATTCGAGATAAGGCCTTCTCAGCCTGGGTGCAGCACCAAGGCAGCAGTGCCCCCCTGGCTTTGGAGACTGGAAGACTAGAACCTAGTTCCAGAGGGATTCCATTGCAGAGCTTACCGGGCGTTGTCCTTGGAGAGCTCCTGTTTTACCCTGGGACCTTGCCTCATTGCAGGGCTTCCTGAACAGGCTCTCCTTGGAAGAGGCTGTGTGGTAGATGGTAGAGAGCACTGTACTAGAGTTGGAAAACCTGTGACTTTGAGGGTGAGGGGGAAAAGGGGTGCTTTCTGGGTCTCATCTATAAAAATGAGTTGCCCTAGATCACCTAGGTCTGGTCCAGCTCTGATAACCTGTTATTCTGTGATTCATTATCTGATACTCAGCAGAGCTCACTCAGCCCATTAAGCCCACAGAGATCCTCTTTAGTCACTTGGGGCTTCTGGGAAATAGGGCATAGACTCTACCTCCCACTGTGGTGTGCTCGAGGGGGTGGGCAGGGCTGCTTCCTGCACTTCTCCCCGCCTCCACGGGAGGGAAGCAGGAGCTTGGACCTGGTGAAATTTCCTCTCCCAGGCGGGCTGTTTGCTCAGCTGTGCTAGCCAGGTCTCGCCTTCCCTGGGGCTGTCTCTAAACCTTAGCTGAGGTGTGAGGTCCCCTGGGCTTCCTGTCAGCTTTCAGGGAGCCTACTGCCCCAACTAGAAGGACAGTGTGCTGCAATGCTCAGCTTCACCTTTGTCACCTTCACTTGTTTTCTCCCCTACTTTTCTTGGGCCACTTTGCTGTGAGCTCCCGGTGGGCTGGAATCAGGGATAGTTTGGAGCACCTTCCAGGCACGTGTGTGTTGGCAGGGGGAGGGTATTTGGAATGCCTTCCAGAAGCCTGCCAGGCTGAGGGATACAACTCAGAGTCCTTGACAGAAGGTTCCACCGGTAGAAGGCAGTGGAGGCTAGAGGGCTGGTGCCTGGAACAAGGGATCCTGCTTTTTCTATTCTCCAATGAGCTTCTGGCAAAGGTAGCCTTGAGGCAAGCAGGGGGACCGGGAAGGGAAGAGTTGTGGAGAAATGAACCGAAGGTTCCAGGAGAATCAGCTTTCCTGACAAATATTATTTATCTGCTTAAAAAAATACTTTCTGAAATTAGACAGTGAAAAATGTTCCCTTTCCGTCTGTGTGGCAGGAGAAGGCTTCCAGGAGGGATCTTGGGGAGGCCTCCTGGTCCTTGTTGCATGCCCTTGGGCTCCTGAGAGGTCAGCAGGGCTGCGTGAGGAGTTTAGGCCAGGCTGAAGTTGAGTGGGTATCCTGGGGGTCCTGGCCTGCTCCCAGGAGGCCTTTCTTTTCAGACTGTGGGACTTAACTAGGGGATGAGGTGGTGGGGCCCTGCATGACCTTGGTCGTATCCTGGGAGTGAAGACAGCAGGTTGTAGAAAAAGCCGAGTTACCTGTGGCTGAGGGGGAAGTAGAAGGGACGTGAGGCCTGGGTGTAGGGGTTGGTAGGGCTGGGGAGGGAGAGGAAAGCACCTGGTGTCCAGTAGGAGGAGTACTTGGGGGAGTAATCAGTCCAGGCAAGGGAATGGGTGATTGGAAGGTTACATCTAGAGTTCCAGGGGGCTTGTTTGACTTCCCCACAGTATTGTTTGAGGGTACAGGAGAGATACCATGGATTCTGTTTGAGGGCCCAAGAGTCATGTTCAAGTGTGCAGGGTCTTCGTCCAGGGGGTTGGCTGTGTGGTTCAGCGATCCAGGAATTCTGTTCAGGGGTCTGAACGCTCTCTTGGGAGCTTCTGTAGCTCTGGCTGAGCTCCCAGGGGCCCTTTCCAATGATGCAAGGGCCTTGTCTTTGAGCCCAGAGGTTGTCCTGACAGAGGGCATAGAGCCACTGTCTGGGGCTGCTGTGGCCGTCTGATCCTGCCTGGCGCAGAGGATGGGTCTTAGTGCATGCAGCAGGAAACGCACCTTTCCTCGGAGGAGCTGCTGAAAGCTCAGGAAGATGGCCGTGGGCTCTCTGTGAGCTGCAGTCTGGCCCTTTGGGAGAGACTGGGGGCAGAGGAGGGGCCCAAGGCCAGAGATCATGTCTCTGGCAAGGGCTGGGGTCCCTAAACCCAGGGGTTAGGAAGAAGAACAGCATAGCCCACCCAATGCCTATCACCCAATACTAGAAGTTCCAATTGGTCCAGGGAAGATCGTTCCCATAGATGCCTTCAGCTGGGCCTTACCGGGGTTCCCAGGAGGCCTTGCAGAGCTCCGAGGAGGATACGTGTCTGGGCTGAGAGCTGCCCAAGCAGGGAGGAGAGGCAGCTGGGGTTCAGCTGTCTTCGGGCTGAAATCACACCTTCCAGCAGTAAGGTCACAGCTCCGAGGACCTCCTGCCCCTTGGTCTGCTCCTGGGTAAGAAAGGTGGGGCAGGAAGACCACATTGAAGGAGCTTATGGGTGGGACGCTTCTAGGATAGCAGTCCCATAATCTCCCTTCTGTGGCGCTCCTGACTACTGAGGCCGCCCATCTATCCTTGGAAGCACCCTTCTTCCTCATGCTGCATTTGGGTCTGGCTCCCAGCGTGCTCACATCGGCCCTCGCCCACCCTCCAGAGTAGCACTGCCGAGGCTCACTCCTCATTGCTCATGGTTGGTCTTCTCGGACGGTCTGTCTCTGACTGTGATGCCTTAAACTGCACAGTCTGACCGGGACAGAGGTCACGGGACTGCTTCTGTACCTCCTGGACCTCCTCCCTCTGTTCTGTCACAGGGTATGAAGAAAGCTCTCCAAGAAGACTAAGCACGGACTTTAGAGTCAGAAGTTCTGGGTTCACATCCCACCCTGATCTCTTACCACATGTGTGACCATAGGTGAGTCACATTATCTTCTGGGCCTCAGTTTCCCCATGTGTAGGTTGGCCTAGTTGGGACTCCAAAGGCCCTTCCGGCTCTTGATCTGTGATCCTCTCTAACCAGCCCAGATGAACTGACAGAGGCTTCTAACTAGATGACTGGTCACCAAATTAGGCAATTTGGAGCCCCCTCCCTTTATAAATATGTTTCCTAAGATGGGGATGGAGGACCTACACCAGTCAGTCAGTCAGTCAGCAAGCAGTTATTAAGTGTTTCTGCGGGCCGGGCACTTCACCCAGTGCTGGGGATAGCAGGAAGAATAAAGCCATCTCTCCCTTCAAGGTGCTTACATTCTAATGGGGAAAGAAGATAGGTAGCTGCTACATCCCATTGTTGGCTCACAGAAAGCTTGTGGTCAAACACAATCTGATCTTTTTCATTAGAACTTTTGCCAAGTCAGCAGCAGAAATTCCACATAAAGAAGAGGAGGGGTATTGTGGGCAGGGATGGGGTCCAGTACCCGTATGATGCTGTGCTAGCTCACTTGATCCTTAACCTAAGTTTGGGACTCAACTCTCGCATTTAAATCACTCTTGAGTAAGATGGGGTTCAGAGGAGGTGTGAGGCTCCCCAGACTCCATTAGGTTTTTGGGGAAGCCTCCTGTCCTCTATCAGAAGAATCTCCTTTCCCATTTCTTAGGCTCTTCCAGGTTCTGAGGGATCTGTGCCTGGATGTTTCAACTGTTCAGGAAATGGGAAGCTAGCTGAGATGAGCCCAGAACGTGGATTCATGACTGTCACCCTGTAGGGATGGCCCTGTTGCTTCGTATATTTTTTTATTTTATTAACGTGGATGAAGCTGGTTGCTTTTCCAGTTTGTGAATGACCCAGAGTTGGAAGGGCTCAACAATACAGTAGATGTCAGACTAATCCTAGCAGGCTGCCAAGGTTGCCTGAGATTGACAAGGAGAGGGGGACAAAGGTGAAAGGTTCATGGCCACAGGGTTTGGGGAAGCAAGCCCCAGGACCTAGGGGTGGTCTCTCACCGTCTTTGCTCTCCATTCCCGAAGGCTGAAGTCCACGGTGGGCAGCAGGACAGGTATGGGCAGAGGACTGAGGTCCGAGCATTGACTCTGTGAATCAGGATTGAGTGGGTGTTGAGTCCCAGCGGCGTGCCCTCTGAGCTCTCCACAGGGGCCTCAGAGGAGGGAAGGGTCACGGGTCCATGTGGGGGAGGAGGGGTGGTGCCATGGGAGGGGCCCCCCGGGGGTCTTACCAGTCTGCTGTGTAAGGCAGCAGAGTCTCGAAGCAGCTTGTTGAAGAGTCTGGGGTCGCAGACAGGGGCAGGGCTGGTCAGGGTGAGGGTCAGTCTTGAACTGAGAAGAAACATCATCACGACAAGCAGCTCTGGCATGAGGAGGAGAGTCAGGATATTAGTTGGGAGGAACACAGACGTGGCTGCCAGCGTGAGGGTGGTGGAAGGGATTTGAAACCTCAGGCTCTGGGTTCAAATCCTTACCCTGCCACTCATTAACTATACGATGTTGAGCAAGTTACTTCCCCCTGGAAACCTCAGTTTCCTCGACTGTAAAACGAAGATGACAATATTCTGTATACTCCCTATATTGAAAGGCAAGTGTCTTGTAAATTTTAGAGCGCTATAAAAATAGGAGCTATTATTAGTCTGGAGATGGTCCAGAAATTCCTATTCTAAATGCAGGCAGGCCGTCCAAGCACTCTGAAGCTCCAAACCCCAATTCCCAAGAGGATTTAGAGACTCCAGATGCCTTGAAGTGTCCTCCCGCCTCCCCCCTCCCTCCACTGAGGTCCACTCACCAGTCAGCTCCATGCTGAGCAGGTGGGCTGCTGGGGTGGCTCCCTGTGTGGGGCCTTCTCCGCTGGGCTCTGCCTGAGGCCATGGAGGCGGCTGGGCGTAGTGGGCTGCTGGCGCCTGGGGGAGAGGGGCTGGGGTCTGGCTTCCTGACCAGCTCCAAGCTATGGGGGCGATAGCAACGCTCCTTGGATCTGTGGGCTAACTACACGAGAAAAACAGCGATATTGTCACGAGTGTTTATTGTGACAAGGCCTTGGAATTATTGAGTGGGGCATCCCTCAGGGAGCTCCTCCTGCTTTGGCTGGAGGGAGGATGGAGATGGAGATGGGGATGGGGTGGGTGAGCGGAGCAGGCTCTGTCCAGAGGAGCACAGCTGCTGGCATAGCCTCCAGGAGTGCCCAGCCCCTAAGCACTGACATTACTTAGAGGATGGGGGTGGTGTGGATGGACGAGAATTCGAGGCATCTGAGGGGGTACCTGGAGTTACTGAGAAGCATAGAATAGAACTGGGGCCCTGGAGGCTGGAGAGCACCAAAAGGTTAGGGGCAGATTCAAGAGGACTGCTGGCTGAGTTAGCTTTCTTCCTCTCCATAGAATCACCTAAAGCCGTTTGGATCTTTTTTTTTTTTTCCTCCTCACTGTCTCTTGGGATCTGTGGTTCCTAAGCAGACCAGCCTGGACCTTAGAGTAGGGGGATGGCGTCCAGGAGCTGGGTTCCCAATGCAAAGGATCATGTCTCCCTTCTGGGGCTAATTGTGACCCAGACACTTCCAAGTCTGTTCCTTCCTCCCTGCCCCCAGCAGGCCCCTTTCCATCCCCTCACAGGACCCCCCACATGGCTTCCTCTTTTCACAAGTTGTGCAAAGAGGTCTGCACCTGATTCAATATTGGGATTTCCTGTAAGTCTGTCAACAGGGCTGGACCCTCCCCCCTTTTACCTTCAATTCCTCTGCCTTGTCTTTCTCCCCCCAGATCCCCAGGCCCTGAAATCAGGCTCAGATTGGACAGGGACAGACCAGGAAAGTGATGGGGAGGTTCGCATTCATCCTAAGAAGCCCCTGCCTCCCCAGCGGTAGGGTTCCCAGGGTTGAGTCAGCTCCCCTCCAGCCACGCCAACTTTTCCTCTGTTTACTGCTGTAGGGTTATACCCCTTTATAGCTCCCCATGATGAACTGCCTTAGGAACAAGGCCTCCTTACTCTCTCCCGCACCCCACCCCCTACTCCAGCTCTGGCTCTGACCTGCTCCTCCCATTCTGGGAAGAGGCTCCAGGCTTCCTGACAAAGGTCAGTGGCTGGAGGATCCAGTGTAGCTGCCCTTCCCCCAGCTGGGAGTCCGATGCCTCCTTCCTACCTCTTCAACCCCCAGCTAGCCACACTGCCCGCAGCCCCCATGCCCACACTTACCAGGTGGAGAAGAGCGCAAGGGTCCAGGTGCTTTGAAGATGGCACAGCAGGGGCCCAGGGTTCTGGGGCCCAGCCCTTCCAAAGCAGTAGGGTCACTTGTCTGTCCTGGTCACTCCTGCCCAATCAGAGCAGGGAGCCACCCAAGCACTGACCGGGGCCCCGGATGTGACGCCCTCCTCTTCCCGCCCACTCTGGACCCACAGCCCCTAGGCTGCACCTTGTTCCACTCTCCCAGAGAAGCCCCTCCACAAACTCACAGACTAGACAGCGTTCTGTTCAGTTGAACTTGGGGCCTCCTCTCCAGGAAATGGGAAACATGGCACCTGGTCTAGGAAGAAGATGGGGGATGGGGGGCAGTTGGAACCCAAGACTACTCCTGGGATGGTTCTGACAAGAAGGACCCCCCCCCCCATAGGGACTGGACCTGAGATCTCACTGATGAGGTGAGCTCCTTGTATGGGTTCAGGTCAGCACCTTTTCTGCTGGGAATCCCTAGAAAGTACTCAGAAATTCCATGACTTCATTGGTTCCCATAGCCAGTAAGTGGCAGAAACAAGACCTGAACCCAGATCTTCCTGTACCTGAGGCCAAGTCTCTATCTACTAAGTCATGCTGCATCTCAAAAAACACATAGAAGACTTGTTTTGGTTTTGGAAATTCCATGTTTCTCTCTCTCTCTCTCTCTCTCTCTCTCTCTCTCTCTCTCTCTCTCTCTCTCTCTCTCTCTCTCTCTCCTGTCTTTCTCCTCTCTGTCTCTCTGTCTCTTCTCTCTTTGTCTCTCCTCTCTGTCTGTCTCTCTCCTGACCCACCCTATACTATATCTTCCCCATGAATGACATTTGTTAATGACGTCCTTTGATGGGGTGCCTTGTTCCCTGATAACTCTCTGTGTACTGGCTTTCCAGTAACCCTCCACTATTCCTCATATCTCCTTTTTCACAGTCTCCACCAATTGGAGGCTCCTTGTATTAGAAAAACAATCCTGTCGGGAGACAGTGCTGAGGGAAAGCAGTGCAGATGTGTTTGGGGGCACGGGAGGTTAGGGGGGAAAAGATGTGCTGGTTGCTTTGGGCAGTTGAAATGTCCTCCTCTTTGTCCTTCCCCTTTCTTCTCTGTTCCCTTCTCCCTCATCTCTTGCTGATTCTACCTCCTTCTGCTCCATATGCCTCCCCTCTGAGATGACTGGCCTCGATTCGGTATACATCCTGTATGTACCGAGTTTTCACGTTGGCTCCCCATTAGAATGGAACCTTCTTTAGGGGAGGGACAGTGTTTGCTTTCCTGCGCCAATCTCCAGTGCTCAGCACAGTGTCTGACACATAATAGGAGCTTGCTGATGTGACAGAGGAAATAACTAGGTCTGTGTGTACTTATGTGGGTGAACCTCCCCTGTTAGGGAATATCAGTGGTGTGCTGCAGCTAAATCCCAGGAGCTCTGAGCTGCACAGAGTGGGATGTTCATTCTTTAGGGTGAGCATTTATATCTCAGGAATGGGCTAATACTACAAATGGGGTCTCAATTTATTATTTTGTTGGTGATCTAGACTTAGGAAAGTGATGGATAAAATGTCACTGCTGCAGATGAAACTTAAAAGGTGTTGTGGTTGTAGTCTGGAGAGCTGGTTGTTAAACATTTACGAACACACCACTGCTCCTTGCACACCCCCTTCAGCTTCTGCTTCCTCATTCTCCCTTGGCCTCCTTCACGGTGCTTGTTACTCAGCTCCTCTCTCCGTTTAATGTTGTCTCCTCAGGAACGAGGCCTAAACCCTGGAATTTTCCAGTCTAGCCAGACAAGATGTCTTTTCAGATTAGGAAGGGAGGGGTGTCTGTGAGCTGAGGTAGTGGTGTGTGTGTGTGTGTGTGTGTGTGTGTGTGTGTGTGTGTGTGTGTGTGTGTGTGTGCAGGTGGTGAGCAGAGAGGCAAACAGGGTTAGAAAGTCAAGATGGGAGGTTCTGACAAAGACGGAGTCCAAGGAGCTGGGAGGACGAGAGGGGGAGAGCGGCCACGCTTGGCCTGCGGCTGAGATGGTCTGTAAGAGATACTGAACGGAGCGAGGCGAGCAGGCGAGGTCACTGGTGGGGGACTGGCCCTCCTGAGAAAAACTGCCAGTGGTCCCCAGAGTTTGGGGAGCAGAAAGTATCCAGAGAAGAGGCTGAATCGAGGGCAAGGCAGATGGATCCGGGTGTGGCATGTGTCTGTAGCGGGAGCAGAGCTGGGAAGAAGCAGGAATGGAATGGGGGAGGGTAGCGGTTGTAACTGGACTCTGAGTAAAGGAGCTGAAATCTCCGGGCAAGAGACAGGTGTTGGGGGTCTTTCCTTTGCTTCCTGCGTAGGGCTGTGCCTGAGCGCCTGGCCCCTGAACTGTGCTCCTTCTCCAGGGAGAACCCCACTTGATCTGGCAGCCCCAGTCCTCTCCCCGGGATGCCTGAGCCACAGAAGGCCCTCCCATTTGTATCCCCTCAAACGGGTGTCCCCGGCACCTAGCTGCTAATGGTCAGTGCGTCCTTGGCTTCGCCCGCCTCCCCCCAGGTGGCGTCCCCTGGAGGAGGGGGGGCTATGGGGGGCTCCCGCCCCGCCCCCGCGTAGGGACATTCCCTCCCCTGGCCCCCCTCCAGCCCCTCCCTCCCGCTCTGCCCCTCCCCTCCCCCAGCTCTAGCGGGCCGCGTCTGCAGGGCCGGACCCCCCGGGCTGGGCTCGGCCCGGCCCCTCGCAGTGTCGCCGCCGCCGCCGCCGCCGCCCCGTTTGCTGACGAGGAGGCCCCCGGCCGGGGCCCTGGGCGCCGGGCATAAAACGGGCCCGGGCCCGGGCTGGGGCCGAAGCCGCCGTCCCCGGGCAGCTGAGCCTCCTGGAGCCCGCGTCTAGGCACCGTCTGCCCGCCCTGTCCCGCCCGGTTGGCCGCCGCTGTAATGCCCCGCCAGCATCGCAGTCCCTCGCTCAGCTCGGCCCGGCCCCGTCCCCGGCCCGGCCTCCGAGAGTCCCCGGCCGGCCGGCCCGCCCGACCTCCTCGCCTCGCGTCGCCCGCCCCACCCGGCCCGGCCCAGCCCCGCGGCTGCCTGCCCTCGTCGGCCCGCGTCATGCGGAGCCTCCCGGGCCCGCCGGCTCAGTTTCTGCTTTTCGGGCTCTTGGTGCTGGGGTTCCGGGCGGCCCGCTGTTCCGGCCCCGAGCTCCCCCAGCTACCCATCCGGCCCGAGAAAGAGCCTCTGCCCGCCCGGGGTTCGGCAGGTAGGTGGCCACGGGTGGCGCAGGTGCCCGACGCTGCTGCTGGCACGGGACTGGGGGGCACGTCTGGCACGAGGCGAGGCGAGGCGAATCGAGGCGAGGGGAGGAGAAGAGAGGAGAGGAGAGCGGGAGCTCGAAGGGGCGAGAGGGCGTCAGCTGGCCGGCTCTAGGGAGGGAATAGCCTCAGGGGCAGGCGGGAGATGGGAAGGTAGGCAGCGGCTGCCAGCTGAATGCCCATCTTGCAGGCTGTTCCTTCGGGGGAAAGCTCTATGCCCTGGAGGAGACGTGGCACCCGGACCTGGGGGAGCCTTTTGGGGTGATGCGCTGCGTTCTGTGCGCCTGCGAGCTGGTGAGTGGTTCCTGGGACACGGGGGACGGGGACCCTCAATCCTGGGCAAGGGTCTGGGAAGCTACAGTTTGGGTACCATGATTTGGAGGACCTCGGACTGCCGGGAGCCGAGATGTGGTGGTGGTGATGGAGAGGGGTGGGGGAGACCAGTCCTCCAGAACATATTTTGTAGACTACCTCGCGGGTATGTGGCAACCACGGGAGAGGGCGGGTGCCCAGGTTCCTTCCCTTCCTCCCTCATCTCAGGGCACTGGGGTCTTCGGTTGGCCTCTGCTGAATTTCCATAATTCCCGACCGCCCTGTCTGTTCTCCCTCCCTCTCTGTCCCGGATGCTTGAAGGAAGGCCGCCCTCATCTCGTCCCCAATATCCCAAGCGGTCTCTAGGTTCTGGACTGCCCCCCACCCCGGTCCTGACCACCTTCCCTTCCTATCTCCACTTTGGCCGCAGCCCTCTTGGGGTCGCCGGGGCAGGGGTCCAGGACGGGTGAGCTGTAAGAACATTAAACCCGAGTGTCCGGTGCCGAACTGCGGGCAACCCCGCCAGCTGCCGGGTCACTGCTGTCAGACTTGCCCCCCTGGTAAGGCCCGCCCCTGAGGCTCAGGCTCCGCCCCTCAACCCCAGTGCCCAGACGGGCTGATCTCGTTTCATTCCCCTCTCCCCTTCTACTTGCTGGCTTCATGGGGGGTGGGGGGCGGGGAAGAGGGAGTCAGGGCCACAGAGTTCTTCCTCCACTCCACCTGTAGCCCTGTCGGGGTGGCAACCCTTGGGGAGTTGGGGGGCAGGTGGTCCCAGGGGACCTCCCCCTTCTGCACCTCTCAGCTGTTCGTGGCTGGGCTGAAGCTTTTTTGACGCTTTCTCTTCGATCCTCGTCCGCCACTGACCAGAACGGACCCCTTCCGAAAAGCAGAACTCAGCTTCGGCCTTCGAGTACCCTCGGGACCCGGAGCATCGCAGCTACAGCAACCGCGGAGACCCTGGAGCTGAAAAGAGGGCCCGAGAGGATGGTCACACAGGTACAGGAGGGGTTGGGGCAGGGAGGAGAAAAGGGCTGGCTCGATCAGGGGCGCCTGGCGGGAGAATGTGTGCGGGTAGGGGCACAGAGGTGGGGGGAATGGGTGGCTCTTGGCAGGCCACGGGGGGCGCTCGGGGCCCAAGAGGGCTCAGCTTTTGAGGCCTGCAGAAGCGAAGTTCCTGAGTAGGGATCAGGGCTTCTCTCTCCCTGCAGACTTTGTGGCGCTGCTGACTGGCAGAGGGTCGCAGGCAGTAGCCAGAACCCGGGTGCTGCTGCTGCGGTCCACCCTGCGCTTCTCTGTCTCCTACCGAGGGTGAGTTGAGAGGGAACAGGGTCCAGCGAAACTAGAGTACTAGATTGTTCCGGTGTGGTGGTGCCTGAGGGAAGGGCAGCACCGGGCTGGGGAGCCAACGGGAACCTAGGGAAAGGGCAGGGAAGAATTAACAAAGGGGCAAGGGTCACCCTAGGAGCTCCGTGCCCTGGTTCCTGCCTCCTCACCCCTTTCTTTGCACTCCTCAGGATGGACCGCGTCACCCGAGTCCGATTCACAGACCCAAGCGGAAGCATCCTGTTCGAGCACCCTGCTCCCCAAGCCCAGGATGGTTTGGTAAGACCTTCCCCCAGATCTGGATGCTGTCCTGTCCCTTCCCCACCTGCCTGCTCCCTGGGCCAGGCTGCAGGACTGCGTGGGAGGGGGAGGGGGTGGTTTGATTGGTGCCAAGAGGACCTCGTCTGTTTGCTTATCAAGTTAGAGGATCACAGATTTACAGCTGGAAGAAACCTTCCAGACCACCCAGTCCAACCCTTGAAATTCATAGCTGAGGAAGCAGAGGGCCAGAGAAGGGAGTGACATGGCTAGTGAGCTGGAAATGAGCTCTCATTCAGGCCTATGAGTCGAAATTCAGAGTTCTTTCCTAGAAGTTCTCTTGGGGGATTGCGCTCATCTAGTTGGGCCTGGGCCCCACTCAAGGCTTCTTCTTTTGGGTGGTGTGTATTTCTCTCTCTCCCTCTTTCTGTGCATGTGTCTCTTTCTTTGTGTCTGTCTGTCTCTCCATCTGTCTACTACAGGTCTGTGGGATGTGGCGGGCACTACCCCGGCAATCCCTTCGGCTCCTTCGGGCTGAACAACTGCACGTGGTGCTGGTCACACCCACTCACCCCTCAGGTGAGGTCTGGGGGCCCCTGATCCGACACCGGGAACTGGCTGCAGGTGAGGACTGTTGAGGGAGGGAGGGGGGAACCTGTGAGATATTGAGCCTTGGCTTGGAGATCTTAATCAATTACTTCACGACCCCCACTCATGATTCCTGTTACTTCCCTGACCATAACACCCGCTCTGGGTACCTTACCTCTCTATGCTATTTCCCCCATTAGAATGTCAGCTTCTTGAGGAAGGGGCCTTTTTGCTTTTTGTATTTGTATCCCCAAATCTTTGTGCAGTGCCTGGCACACAACAAATGCTTTATTTGTCCATCTATCCACCTATTCCTCCAAAGGGAAGCCCTAGTCTCAGCAGAGGGTGGGGGTCTTTTTGCCCCACCCCCCTTTTGAGTCAGTGCTGGAGAGGTATGGTTCGGGAGGGGGAAAGGGGAGGCCTGCTTTGAAATTCCCTTCTCCCCCTGTACCCAGAGACCTTTAGTGCCATCCTGACCTTAGAGGGCCCACCCCAAGCCAATACTGGGGGGATCGCCCTGCTTACCCTCAGTGACACAGAGGACTCCCTACACTTCCTCCTGCTTTCCCAGGGCCTGCTGGACTCTAAGAATGGTGGTGAGTGAGAAGAACAAGGGCAAGGCATTGGTGTGCCCTGGACTCCTGGACTCCTTGCAGGAGGCCTCACAGGGAGGCCTCCAGGGAGCCAGGAGGGAGGAGGGGGCAGGGCATGGGTATCTGAACCCTGGGCAAAGAGCTGTGTAGAGAGCAGACAGGCACCCATCCATGTTTCTGCAGGATCTTTCCACACTCCCCTTCGGCTGCAGATTCAACACGAGGACCAGCTCCTCCGAGAGCTTCAGGCCAATGTCTCTGCCCAGGTAAGTACCCATGCCTGTTCTCCCAGGCCTCTCCCTCTGGCCCCAGCCCTGGTTTTCCATGCTGTCCCTCACTCTGTCTCCAGGAGCCTGGCTTTGCTGAGGTGTTGCCTGACCTTACGGCTCAGGAGATGCAGTGGCTGGCTCTGGGAGAGCTTCAGATATCCCTGGAGAGGAAGGAGGGCCCTGGCCCCCGAATCAGTGGGCACATCACCGCCAGGCAGAGCTGTGACAGTGAGTGGCTGCCCTGGGGCCACCATCCCCAGCTGTAGGGGCAACGGCCCTGGGAGAGGAAGTGCTAGTGGGTCTTAAGACCATAGGAAGATGATGAAGGTGGAAGGGCCCATCCCAGGCCTGAGTAGGGGGAAGGCAGGGGTGAGGCAGGCTAGCATCTCTGAGTATTCAAGCTTAGGCCAAACCAGTGGGGCTCATTCAGCTGAGGGCTGGTTCCAGGTGTGGCCTGAGCCCTTCCTACCCCACTGCCACCCCTCTCTGTCTTTTTGTTCTTTCAAAGCCCTGCAGAGTGTCCTGTGTGGTGCAGATGCCTTGGTGCCAGTGCAGACTGGTGCAGCGGGCTCAGCCAGTCTGAGGCTTCTAAGGAATGGCTCCCTGCTCTATCAGGTTAGGGGCTGCCAGGCAGGGGTGGAGGACAGCTGGCTACCAGGGAGGCTGGGCATTTGAGGGTTTGGGCCAGGTGGGTTTTGTGTTCTGGCTGCAGATCCGAGCCTTCAGGTCCCTGACCTCTCCCCCTCTTCATTTTGTCCCTGGCCCCCAGGTGCAGGTAGTTGGCACAGCCAGTGAGGTCACAACTGTAACCCTGGAGACCAAACCTCGGAGGAGGGACCAGCACAGTGTCCTATGCCAAATGCCCAGGAGCCAACAAGAGGGGCACGTGGTGAGGGGATCCTGAGGAAGGAGGGCAGGGCTGGGGCACAAGGCCA